CATTGCAGGGGGAAGGGGGGTGCATTAAAAACAGAGAATTGAAAATAGAGAAGAAAATAGCTACCTGGAAAAACGAGGCCCTGCCCCGGCAAGTCGAGTCGACGCGAGCTTTCCAAGTTTTTATCTTGAGACCCGACGAGTTCTCTGCCCTCCGAGCTTTTGCTCGGCGCTTGGCTCGGAAGAGTCTCCAGCGGTGCCGGATTGCACGGAATAAAAGTATCACAGTCCCAACTACATTTCTGGCTGATTTTGGCGCCTAGAGTAGTTGCACCCGCCAGAGGTGCGGTTGAGACAGCCGAAAGTGTATTTGGATTAACTATACCTTTGTCCGATGTAGCTACTCTTATAACTGGGGCCAAAATCAGCCAGGAGTATAGCTGAGATTTGATTTTTTTTTCCGGTATGAACTATGAACGCAATTCACCCGGGCCTGACAGACTCAGATCGCAGAACTCTCAGCATATACAGCATGTACGTCAGATGAGGATGCGCTTGAAAATTGAAATTAAAAGACGAGGAAAAAGAAAACAAAGAATGAAAAGTGAGAAGAGGAAGGAGGAGAGAAGAAAGAGTTGAAATAAAATAAGACATTATTTTTATCCGTTGTTATCTCCATCTTCTTCTTCGTCTCTTTCCTCTCCCTACGACAAAATAGACGTCATGCATCATATACGGCATATGCGTCCGATAAGAAGCCATCTAAAAATAGAGGACGAGGAAAAATAAAGCAAAGAAGGAAAAGTAGAAAAGACAAAGATGAAGAAAATAATTGGGGAAAGACAAAACACATTGTGTTTATTCGTTGTTATCTTCCCCTTCTTCTCCGTTCCCTTTTTTCTCTCCATTTTCCTTTGCGACCCGATTATCGACTCTGTTTCGATACGACAATACAACACATAGTCCTATCTTATCCATGCAATACATCGCATTTTAATGGCGAATCGTTTTGCTTTAAACATTCAACCCGCTGCTTCTTCTTTGGCTAGTATCCCTCCTCTTCTTCTTATCTCTCTCTGTCCTACTCTTTCAGTCTTTCAATTTTCTTTATCTTTGTTTTTTTTTTATTACTCGTCATCCTCTTACTCTTCCGTCAATTTTCCTTTTTTGTATTCTTTTTCTTTAAATTAGAAAAAACGGGTACCTCCCTATTTAAGGGATCCAATTTTTCTCTATGCCTAATTTTAAATGTTAATTTTTTTTTTAATCTAAATTGAACTTTGTACTTTAATTAACGTAATTTTTAAAATTCTCCGGGCCACTTAAAAAGAATTCGTTCTAGGTGTAGCCCATAAAAACAGATACAAATGAATTTTAGTGAGTCCTGAGAGAGTCTTGAAAATAAAAAATGCAATTTTTTCTTCAACAGAAACATGGCAACAGACCTCATCGTGGGCCTAAAAACAAGACCGACCTCTCCATGCTCCATGTTGCATTTGCCTCGTTCACAATAGAGATTCGCTTAGCTAGCAATTTCCCATCTACACTTTTTAAAGGGGCTCGTACTGCCTCAATCGTAACCACTAAGGGCTTCGCCCCCAAAATCGAACTTTCCCAACCTCAGCCGGAATTCTTCTGTTATTTTCATCCGGATGCTTTTCCGTCTTCGGGAACCGGCACGTCTTGAGATTCTTTGTCCTTCGAGGGGGATGAAATCAAACGCTCCCCTTCGTTGGAAGTCTCAATTCGAGAGTTGAATTTGAATGCGTAATTACTCGACTGTCGGAATGATTTTAACTTTTTTACCCCCGAGTCTTTGATCAGTGCAGGAGAAAGTTATTTTCAGGAAAGTGGCAGAGAGCTGAGAGAATGAAAGTCTACTTTTGTTGAAGATTTGTTGTATGAAAGTAAAAAGCATTCTAACATGCTAGATCGAGTAGTACTGTTATACGCTAAAATGATCAATATGGGCAGAATGGTGATGGTATTGTACATGTTTTATTATTTTACAAGTTATTTTGTTAAATAACATTTTTTTGCTAATTTCAGTGTCATAACTTGATATTGGTGTTGATATGAAATTTATTTTTCTTTCCTTAGACATTTCCAAAATGAAAAGCATGCGAGTCTTTGTTACTATAGAAGGGGCTTAACATACAAGGCGCATAAGTGCAGTTTTTGAAAAAAATTGAGACATAATGGTTTCAAGTAAAACTAGTCTAAATGCATATTCCATAAACAATATGCTCTTAAATTCCAATTCTGAAGCACCGAAAAGTCAGTTTGAACTTTTTCTCCGCCATAAGGATCCATGTGATTTCGAAACTTCAAACACGTATTTCTCGAAGTAGCAAAAAGTGTTCTTATGCGTCTTGTCCACCAAGCAAGCCCCTCGAATGTCCGGTTGAAAAAGTGACCAGATAAACGATTTAAGATCCTCTTGTAATAAGGACAGCATTTCCCTCAGCAAGCTTTGAGTTGAATAAAGTTACGTAAATATTTTAGTAATGAAGACCGTTTTCTTACTATTGGAGCCACCTCATACATGCATTATAGGTTTTAGCATTTCAATTCAAAATATAAGCATCAGCTTTTTAGAGAAAGAATAAGAAAAACAATTGAAGAATATACTTCTTGAGCGCCCTTTATTCCTTGAGGATCACCTTTACAATGTTTGCACTATATTTGATTTGAGAAAAAAAAGTAGCCGTATTAGAGATGATACCTCTTCTATAACGATACATTTCACTGGTCCGAAGCATCAAAATAAGTTTCATGTTCCTAGATGCATTTTTGTGGCAGTCAGCAAACAATGCTGATTCAAACATCCCAGTCAAGCATTTCCCTGAAACAAATGTTAAATAAAGTTACGGGTGTTAAAATGTTAGTACCTTGCATGGAACTTTCAGAACTGCGTGAATTTGTTGTTTCATTGTACTTTTCCTTAGGTACAAGTGATCGAGTCGAGTCGAAAAAATAATACCGAAGTTTCCATTGATGAAAATAAATTAGATTGAAACATAGGAAAATTTTAATATGAGGAGCGCGTCATCTATTTCCATCATCGGCACGTACAAAATAGGATCACTAAGAAATTAAGGGGGTTTTTTGTCCGAAAAATAACCTTCCTTTTTTGGCCATCAAACTTTACTCTTATGAAACACAAACTTCTAACGATGAATTATGAAGCAATAGAATACTCGTTTAGCCTACTTGAACATCCTTTTTTAGAGTGAGCAAAGGGCCTTTAGCCGCAATGCCATGAATAAATGGCCTACCGAGAAAGGGGTTGAAAGTCAACCCTCATCTTGATTTTAAAATCGATATATGCTTAAAAGTTCAGCGTTTTATTTCACCCTATCTCAGAGATGCTCGCAAAGTTTTTGGCAAACCATAATTTGCGGCTTACCTAAAATTTGCACCACAACTCAATTACTTATCAGCTGCAAACAATTTCCAAATCTATTTTTGTTCCTGTTAAATGAATTCCTGCGTTCGCATCTTTTTTTTCTTTTTTTTGAACAGTTTGGCATTTTAAGTTACATTGTCGGTATACAGCCCTAATAAAAACTTCATGAAATAACGCATAACGTACCTATTTCTTGTCTAGCTTGGTGAGGTTTCACCTGCATCAAAATGTATCATCCTTCTCACAATTAGTGCTGACCAGCTATTGATTGACCTAAAAATGAAAAAGTTAGTGTATAATTAAAAATAAGAATTATAAAAGGTAAAACTATCATTAAGGCTATCGAAATAATCACTGGTGTTTGTGAGTCATCATGCTTAATTAAAATTCCGGATTGCAAAAGGTAAATTGTGGGCTAATTCAAATATTTAAAAGTATCATATATGTTTCTGGTCGCATACTAAAGTCTTACGACGGATTAAAAGTGAATTCTGCTGAACTGAGGGGCTTTTTTGAACCAAAAAAGTCATTTCAGGTACCATAATTTATTATTAGTTACTGTTAACTCCCTTTTTTACCTTCGATTTTTTATTTGACGCATCTAAGTACTTTTTTTAACTAAGTTAGTATGATTTCAGTAATTTCCGTTCAGAAATCGCATTATACGTTTTTTGCTCTGAAATAATCTATTAGAATGCGGATTTGTCTCTTGGCACAGAGATTTCCCCAGCAAGTAGCAGTGATCGCGATGAGTTGCGATATGACCCGAGAATGTTTCGCGCTTTTAACCACGTTGATTTATTCTGCCGTGTTAGGGAAGAGAGCCGTAAGTGGAGACCGGGATGAGTCTCGAGATACATAAGAGTATGTACTAACCATGGCTCATACAAAAATGCGCTTACGGCTCTCTTCGCTATCACGGCAGTATTGCAATATAATCGGATAAAACATTGCGATTTCATCACATAAATTTGCGATGAAATCACGGTTCAATCGACGGCGATTCATCGAAATAGTATCGAACAAAAAACCGTCATCAATCGAAAAAAAATTTCGATTCCATCGAGCGCGATTTTTGGAGATAAAATTGCGACGATAATCGCTCAGATGATCCTGGCGATTTCATCGCCAAAAATTCGTAAAAATATCGCAACTTAATTTCATAATCCGTTGAAAAATGCCACTTAGGTTCCTTTCCTACTGAAGAAAATGCCATTTAAACTGCATTGTGACGCCATTGCTTGGCCGAAAGCGCAAAAGCTCCACCGGCCGGCCCTGCGGAGTGCATCAAAACACGCGCGCCGATTTCTCCAGAGTCTCAACTTTGTAGACGCGCTGCGTTACCCACGGATCACTCGTTTATGAGCCCAACATAAAATGGCGCTGCAGTTTTATTGCCAGTGTTTATCTCAGGTACTACTCCGCCCTGCTGAGGAAAAACGCCGTACAAACCTTTAGGCGTTGCCAAATTCCCTTAAAATAAACCACGGATTTTCAGGAAAACGTCTGAATGTTTTTCTTCCTATTTATCAGAAAATTTTATTCGCATTTAAATCTAGAAGAACTAACAATTTCAGCGAGAAATATTGATAACTGTTCACAAAAATAAACATGTTTTTGAAAGAAATTTGGAAATTTTCGAATGTTCATACGGCGTTTTTCCTTAGCACGACAGTACTCCGCAGTGTAGGAGCGGATCTGCGACTGAATGTTCCCTGAGCGCTGCCAAAACACTCCGAAATCCCCGAAATTCCGGAACAACGCCACCGCTGAGTTCCGGCAAATTGGCACAAATTTGCGGGGTTGTCATAGTCTGCAACGATAAAAAGCTCCGGAGCATTCGAAAAATGAAATCAAAGTTCTGAGCTTTCGTGCATGATTCATTTTTGTCGTTAAAGTCTACAAGCTTTTATTGCACGAAAGCTCGCTCCGAATCGTAAGTCACGATCCTGGGTCTCGTAGCCGCAGGATGCTGAGGAAAATTTTACTAATTATGAGCACGTAGCAAATTTTTGTTATTTTATGGAATGGATTTTGTGACGTAATTTTGTCGCTCCTAGTTGGTCTGTATGGCTGTAAAGGTTGGAGTTATGGAGTCGATTAAAATTGTAAGCACTGGTGTGGCGTGCTTTGCGATATATCGATTGATCTGTCATTTAGACCAATGGAAAAAGATCGATAGACAGGGTGTTCGCAATGAACACCTTAATACTCGATTCTTTACAAGGACTTCAAATGGGAAAATATCGATAATCGATCATTTACGCCTCGCCGCACTGATAGTACGAAGTAACAAACTGAAATGTAGGTATTTTCACTGTCTAAAATGTGTTGCAGGCATGATGTATCTGCGCCTTACAATATTGAACACATTATAGTATGAAAGTTAAAGTCATTGTACCTTAGTTCCAAATTTTCATGAGCTATTCGGGAATAAAGGCGTAATAAATCTAATTCTGTGATTTGGTTTATTACCATCTTCAAAATAAAGATTCAAAAAGCTTCATAATGCTTGAATTATAACGGTTTTAAAAGGGATTACAATGTGCACCCATGTATGCATTCTCATCTTATAGTCAAAATTGGTTTATGGAAACCCCTATCGTAAATCCTAAAATATATTTTGATGTCATCATATAGTGAGTTATTTTTAACCATTGACATGTTCTAAGAATCTACCACAATAATTTTACCGTCATTTGATTGGACTCGGTGATTAAAACCTTCTGAATATTATTTTTCCATAAACTTACATCAAAAGTACAAATACAACCTACGTTGAAACACTCTGAATTTTTCCATTGATTTCTATTGGTGATGTCAGAAGCAGCATATAATTGACGTTTTATAATGGGACAAAATAGATACGTTATTTTCAACCATTGAAATGTTCTACGAATCTACCACAATAATTATATCATCATTCAATTGCACTCGATGATTAAAACCTTCTGAATATTATTTTTCCATAAAATTACATCAAAAGTATACAAATACAACCTACGTTGAAACACTCTTTGAATTTTTCCATTGATTTCTATCGGTGATGTCAGAAGCAAAATATAATCGACGTTTTATAATAGATACGATGATTTGGCTGGCTATTTTTGCTCCTCCCAAGAAAGCTTAAGATCATAAATTATGGATGAAATATGATTCATATCCATTAGAGAGCGATCTGACGAGACCATCTGACACAGAGCATCAGCGAGACACTTTGAGCCACGATAAGAGCACGGGAGCGAGAGACGGAGTTATTTATAAATTCCAATTATTTTTCGGAATTAAATTGATGGCGCGGCTCAGAATGATTCATTAATGAAAGAAACCCTGCGAGGAAGCGAGGAAGACGCGCCAGGGAAGAGGGAGACTTTTTACCCCCGCCGAAAAACTTTAAGAAACTGTAGCGCTGGAGAACAACAAAAATGTAATTAAAGAGTTTGGATGGAGGAGTGAAAAATGATAAGACAAGTAAAGGTGTGGGGGAATTAACAAGGAGGAGAAAGAGGGTGGCAGCCCCGCGCCCGTCAGAGGGAGGGTGGGTGTTGGGCTGGATCGCGCGGAACTGGAAGAAGAAGAAAAATGGAGAGGCGCCATCTTTTAAAAAGCGACTCTTTCGGCTCTCGCCCTTGTTTAACTTACTTACAGCCGCCGCTCCTTTTTCGAAAAATCCACAAACAAAAGAACCGTCCCTCTCCGGAATAATACTTTCGCATATCGAATCTGATTCCCTTCCTAACCTCCCATTTCTTTAATCCACCCTTTCTCTCCACCCCACCCCTGAGCGCCCTCCCTCCCGAAAAAGTCGCGCTGTCCCGTTTCGAGTACGCGGCGCCCGTGCCAGCTCGTGGGGGAAACCTCCCTCCGGTGGCCCTCAAAAAGTATCCGAGTATCATACTGGAATTGGACATGGTATCCGAAGGGGGAAAAAATGAAATCGAATCAACGAGTTGCAATGAATATGAATGTAAACCGTCTTTTCTGCCGTCATTTATTTTATTAAGTGATGCCAAGCTGCAAAATGGTATCACGTTTATGATGAAACTAGGAAAGACACAAATTTTCATCTCAAAGTTTCAAAAATTTTACTTATATTTCATCCCTCTGAAAGCAGGAAGGTGAATCAGCTTTGAATTTCATAAAGTATATTCTTTTCAAAGGATGGCTCTTGAAAATTTTCGAAGAATGACGTCCTTTGGTTTTCAATCTAAACTATGAAGAATGTTGGGTGATTATTCGGTGGCAAGTCATTTTTCCGAAAACATTTTTTCCTACTGCAATTTTTCCTTATACTTTTTTCCTACTTGTTTTTTGTTCCATCACAGTTACTCCTACGAGTGAGATGTCCTACTGGCTTTTTTCCTAGGGGCATTTGTCCGAAATTCAATTTTAAAACTAGGGAATCGAGAAAGTAAAAAAACAACATAGGTACCTCACAAGTTAAAATTGTGGCCGCATGCCCGTAAGTAGTGGAGCTTCATCCTCCTCCTTATATTGAGGGTATAGAAGGCTCAGCTTGTAATGTCTCCTGTTCACGCACTTATATTCGGCTCGCTGAGAAAACTTTACTCTTTCTGAAAAATTTCCCTCTACTCTACTCATGTTTACGTTTCAATTATTATTGAATTATTAGGACAAACACCCTTAGGAAAAAAGCCAGTGGGACATCTCACTCGTAGGACTTACTGTAATAGGACAAAAAACGAGTAGGAAAAAAGTAATAGGAAAACCTGATGTAGGAAAAAAAAATTTAGGGAAAATGACCTAGCACCGATTATTCACCTCGTCAATCGAGCAACGCGCCTCTTTAAAGTTACACTTTTACGATCTTGTTTGTTGTTAGCACTGTTAAATAGTGCGCAAAAATATTAAATATTTCCACGGCATTCAATGGCGTCATCAAATGACGTTTTAAAGATGCTAACTTGGAATCTGCTGTCCAGCAATAGCAATTTGTTTGATTTTCTACCAAAAAAATAAAATACGAGGAGAATCTCTCATATTTTTTTCGAGCACCGTCAAAGTCCAGTTTCTCCGTGTTCTCCGTTCCATTTTCTGTTTAAATCTCTGTTACATTGGTTTTTTTGTCTGTTTGCTTGTTTACTCTTTCGTTTTTTGGTTCCTTGTTTGTTTTTTGTTGTTTGTTTTGTTAAATTTTAAGGCTCACCCAATTCCGTCCCTCCTCCACTTAACTTCCAAATTCCCTTCCCTACAATCCTTCAGGGCATAAACAGAGTCTCTCTCATTTTTTTTTTTTTATCCTACTTCTACCCCTTCATCCTTTAGGGCTATCTTTTTCATCAATTGTAATCCTGAGTTCATCCGATATTTTCTTTTACAGTAGATGAATGATTTATAAATAAATGATGAATGATTACGTTTCACTCAGATATAAATGAATTTTATTAGTACTTCTACCGCCATTATCGGTTCATCTATGGGGTGCAATTGCGTAAAATGCCCTGAACTTTGGCAACGGTGCCATAAAAGCGTTTCCGGGTGATACTGTTGCTGAAAAAATGAACAGCACTCGAGGACGTCAACTCGGAGAGAACTGAAGAACTCGCCCAGAAATATGTGTCTTTCAACGACTTGCGCTCGAGAGAATAACTCAATTTTTCCGGATTTAACGCTCCCTTAATGTTTTCCGAACCGAATTTCGCTTCCTCCTCTCAGCAGTAAATATTTCTTGGAGCTTGAATATTAAGTGCTTTAAAACATTAATTACTCCTCTAAGTCAAGATGAAATATATAGCACTCCATGCTTACATTTCAACGAATAATACACTGCTGTTGCGCCCCCAAAAAAGACCCCCTTCTGGAACTCTCTTTGTTCGGCAACTTTGGACCCGTGCAACCAAATCATGAAAGTTTTTCGAGTAATTTAATGATAAATTTCTTCTCTCATAAAAAAGGTTCAAAGATATTTGGCTGATAATGTAGGGATATGAAATTTTAATCTAAGTAATAAGTATCCCTCTCGTATATGAACTCTTAATCATGAAATTTTACGCAATATTTTTTTTAGGGATTTTATCTTCTTTCTTCAATATGTAAAAAGTGTGTGTGATGTTTTACCGTCTCAAATTAGTTCATAGGTCTTGTGTTTTATTCCGATTATTTTGCTTCTAAGACCAAACCGATATGTATCAAAATGCTCCTTTTAACGTTTGTATTAGGCGCATAAAGAAGCTCATATTCCAAGAATTTGATAAATTTCCATGTTTTCTACAAGTATAAAAAAAAATCGATTCAGAAGCTGCAAATACACCGCGTCTTATGTTTTCTTCATTGACGCAAACGTAAGCCCCGGTGGTTTTTAAAGAGATATTTTGATTATTTTCTTTTTCATAGAATGTCCACTAGGCCGAAATTTTTAAATGAAAATGCACACTTCAGCATACTGAAAATTGCAATAATAACGAGACCGACTAAACTGCGTTTAACAAAAAGGCACCAATAGTCGCAAATCGGAAACAAATGAGTCGGGAGTATAGTTTTAATCAACTTAACTGATCGCATGGTTTCCTCTGTCATTGACCCAACGTAAAAAAAAGTATCATAAAAATGTCTGTTAAATCTTGTCCATATCATTGAGTCTTGTAAAGAAATGGGCGTATTTATGCTAAAAGGAACTATGTGCAAAATGTTTACTTGTGACATAGTTCCTTTCAGCATGAATACGTCCAGATGAAACCATGAACCGCTTTTTCCAGTTTAAACTTGATGGAATTTGGTGCGTTTTTGTTGAAACTCGGTCCCACTGAACTCTATAAATTAGGAAATTCATTCATTTACCTCTGCTTTCGGTTTGACTGAGGCGCTTTTGAATCCTTTCGGGTACACTATCCGTTGCGGGGGAATCAAATGATAGTCCCGTCCGGAATATCCACGCACTCCTATCATCGCGCTGCACCCTCCATAAACATTCACCCTGATAATCCGTTTAAGATGAAGAAAATTCGTGGTTGCGGGGAGGAAACCCACATTCTCCCTCTATAAGCGCATTTTTCACGCTTAAGGGCCGTCGTCTTGAAACACATCCGATCCCTCGGAAATTTCCGCTGTTGCTTCAATTATATTTTCCATATTCATGCGGTCAGACCCCTCAGGCTGCAGGGAAAGTGGTCTGGGATCCGATCCTCCATTTCTTCCTGAAACAAAAATTACGTGGCATGAATCAAAACGTTTAAGATTGCAATACGATTCGAGGAAGCATGGGATTTTTTTTATTTTTTCAAAGAGACAGAGCGAGAAAACATACAAATTGAGACTAACACGCTGTGAGTAACAAGTTGGCAGAATAGTGCTGGGCTCACAACAACCATTCAAGTCAAAATTTTTAAAAACTTGGAATCGTTCGCTTTCATATCCTCGCAAGATAGTGTGGAGTATGTGTGGACCGACTTTTAACTTTATCTTAACATTTATTATTTCAGTACAAACATAACTGTCCATGTATAATTATATTTTTCGTATTTTCAAAGGACTTAGTGTGTGGAGGAACATTTTTTCGGAGGATCAATTTTGATCAATTTAGGTCGAAAAAATTTATTTTAGAGTCAGTTGAAAATAATAAATCGGAAGTGAAATACTTGTTTGCTCGTATTTTATATTTTTATTTTTTTGATGATCGTAAGTAGTAAAATCTAAAATCGCCCAGCTCAGAAAAACTCGCAGATTATAGTCCTGGGTATATTTTTTCTCGAGACAATGTTTTTCAAACTGCCAACTTCGAACCCGCATGATTCCAATTTGGTTTGACTTCCTTGGGCATGATTCCTATTAAATTGTTTGCAAAACACTTTTCTAAATTCAAAAGTATCAATATCTCAATTCTAAGCTTCTTTACACTATGATCCATAACGCTGTCGATGGTCATAAATTTATGGTTTTGAAAGTACCAAAACTGATATCATAATATCATAAACTAGAACAGCATTATTTACGAAGAATTTATATTTTTCTTATTTCCTTCTTTTTAACTTCATTTGTGTACGCCAACAAGACGTATTTACAGAGCGAATGTTTACCAGCAAAAATTCTCGATGCAGAGAATCCTACGTGCTTGTTTCTATGTATTACTTTTTTTTACCACACAATTATTTTTGGAAGCTTTACTCTTCCAAGACATATTTGGACATTATAACCTAACTTTCCCTACAAGTTGACGTTCCCAACACGGAAAACGCTTCTGGACTAGAATCAATTAGTTTTTCTCAACATTCTGTGCTTGAAATTACTTCGCAAGGAGCTCATAAAACGAAGCTCCTTAATACCAGCTGCTTTCGTTGGGACGTTTTATTTCGTCTTAACGCGAGCTCTCTTAAATTTTATCTTCCTTGAACCATCTTACTTCAACGATTTAGCTCGACTTAAGAGTTGATTTAATTTACACGCCGGCATCACTGTTGCTATATCAGCGCCAAAATTCCTATTTTAAGAATTGTTTTCTTCCAATTTTGGAGCTTTTTTGCGGAAACTTGGCAGTTTGATGAGCTGGCGTGTTAGAGATATGCATTTTCTCTCGCGTCCAATCTTCTAGTTCTTCTCAGCGGCATAGCGTGCTTTGCGATATATCGATTTATCTGCCATTTTAACCTATAAGAAAGGATCGATAAACAGGGTGCTCGCAACAAACACCTTAATAATCGATTCTTTACCATAGCTTCAAATGAGGAAATATCGATAATCGATCGTCCACGCCTTGCCACTGAGTTCTTGTCTTTCGCGCAAGCAGCTCTTTTTTAGCATCCTCATTTTACCTTCATCATCGTCGGATAGGCTTTTTCACCGTGTATTCAACGCTTTTCACCTCTTTAAAGTGTGTTTTTCTTTAGGGCATGATGGAGTCCTACCAAATTTAGCTGTCAACTTCTCGAAATGACAATATAATGTGTTCAGTACGCAATTTTTTCACGATTGGAATAATTTTCATGGCCGTTCTTTTTGTTTTATTAGATTTAAAGGCACATAATAATTTACCCAATTCACTTAAAATAATATTGTTCATCGTGTGTAGATAGGCATATTTTGCATAAATGGATCTCATTAGTAATTGCATTGGCGTTATCTGACAGACAATGATAGATATCAGCATTGAGCAGGAAGGAGCAAAGAATTTACGTGCCGTTTCGCCTTTGATTTACAAGGTAGGCAATAAAACATACTTGGAAAAGCTAGAGTTAAGTTTTGCAGAATTTGTGTCTTATGAGGTCCACACATATCTCTTTGCAGTTAATTGTCATACGTTTCACCAGACTCCGTCAAATCTTGCATTTTTTTCTATTCAAGGCTCATTGATTGATGATGAATTTATGATATGAATTTAATAATTCACTCCAAAATTTCCCGAGGAAACCAGCGCTTCTGATTGTTTTTCTTTTTTAATTTTTTCTTCTTTTCTAATATGTTTGAATAACAATGAACATGTCTGTTTCTTTGGTTTGTAAAAATTTTTATTCGAGATTGGACTGCATTTTTGAAGATTAGGAACTAAAATTTCTGACTGAATTTAAAAACAACGTAAATACCATTAGTTTCCCTAGACGACGCATATTGTCGTTTCCCGAACGAAGGATTACGTAACTTCATTCGAAGCTTGCAAAACTGACCTTAACAATTCAATTTTTTCACAAGAATATACCTGCAAAATTTATATCCAAAATTTTTCTGATTTTTGCATGAAACACGAAGAAACATCAGCGACAATTTCAGTCAGAAATTCCAAAAATTCTCTCGTTGAAAATGCAAGTCACGGGGGAAATTGGCAACATTGAAATGTAGTTACGTTCTTTCGTGAGGATAACGAAGATTTGTGCCCTTACGGATGAGCCAGAAATTGTGGTTTCTGATTGCAAAATGTAGTGCAACTTTTAGTCTACGCCTCATTCATTCGCCGTTTCTGCACACTGAAAAAAAAATCTCGGTGTATTTACCAAGAAAAGGGTAAAATTGCTGAGAATTCTGGGTTCTATTTGATCCCTGTTTTTTCTTGGTAAAATTACAATTTATGGTATTGGTAATTTTACCGAGAAATTTCGGTAAAATTATTGAGCTTGCGGCAAAGTTACCGATGGACCTTGGTAAAAACGCCAAGATTTTTATCGACTGTGGTAGAATTACCGAGATAAACTGGTAAAGTTACCGGGAATTGATTACCAATAAAAGTGGTATTCTTACCTGAAAAAACCAGTAGAAATACCAGTTTTTAGGTAAGTTTACCAGTCTGTCTTGGTAACATTACCAATAATTGGTAAAAAAGTGAGATGGTAAAGTTACCAACGGACCTTGGTAAAAACGCCGAGAATTTTTTTTCAGTGCAAAGAAGGCCTCACATGGAGCAAGTGCCACTAGGAAGGAAAGAACTCCCACCCTCCTCGCGTGTAATTTACGAGTGGCCCTTCCTAAGATGCATCAATAGCGGCCCATTTTCGTCTCCTCGGATCATGCATCTTCCCGGTGGCCGTCACGGGGAATAATTCACGCAAGACTCATGAAAAGGAATCGGGGGCGAAAGAAACACTGGGGCGAAGTAAGAGGGACATCCCACTCGAGTCGCGACTCAACTCGCGAGGGAAGCGTTTAATATTTACAGAACACGAGGGTAATTGATGGCGGGGCCTCCGCTTTTCAAGAGACTATAGCGACTCGACTAAAACAAATGCAGCCTTTTTTTCCACTTGTCTTAGCCCGCTGGATTCCGAAAAGAGGGGCCCATAATAAATTTCACCATCTCGCCCCGGCCCGGCNGGAGAAAAGTCTTCCTTGAAAGCAAAATGAATGTTCGCCTGCCATCCCTAATGATTTTTCTTCTTCCCGAAAACTTATTTGAAATTCCATTTTATTCCTTCTCGCTCTTTATTTTGTTTCGGGAGCACGTCACACCTCCCCCCCCCACCCATCCCTTTCATGCTATCCGCTCAAGGGTTGCCGAATGGAATAATTTGGACCATCAATTTTGCAATAGGGAACTTCTATTACCGAACATCCATATAAGCAACTATTCCGAGGGGTAAGGAAGAGTACCGCCTAACTGACAATTTTGGCGAAACTGAGTTAGTAACTTTGCCGCATTCTTCAATACATATTACACACGCAAGACGGTATTTTTAGTTTTTTCCAAGTTCGTATAGGAGCTGCTCTGTAATGTAAAACAAATGCAAATATATCTAACCTTTTTTTTTGCGGTTTGTTTGCAATTTTTTGGGGTTCTATGTTTTAGTGCGCCAGACTAGGAATCTCCAACCATCTATAACCTCAAACTTGCAAAAATGCGAAGTTTCTTCTCTGTTCCGCAAACTCATCAGATTGCAGACAGGCGGTAGTGTTCCCTAGCCATTCATTTGCAAGCGAGACATGATGGAACATATGTTGTTTCTAAAATTTACCAAATCCCTTCCTTTAATATCAAACCCTAAGAATTCCGATTATTTTCCTCAGTATTATCATTGATACGTAAATAAATCCACACAAGGCACAAGGGACTCCTACCTCGCGCAGTGAGCAAAAATAATTCGTCGAATGTTTCTGAAGTTCACTTTTTGAGAATTAACAAAAGAGAGTGCTGAAATCGACTTATTTCTGGCACAAAAATTGTCGGGTTGCGACAAACATAGACCTCAATTATTATAGACAAAATTAATAAATAAAAAATGTAGGTACAGCATGAACGAGTAACGACAAAAATATGACCAAAGTGGGAGTAAAGGAACAGAGAACTATTCCATTAAAGGGGACAATTTTACATCACTCTATGGAACTTGGCAATTCAGCTACGCCCGTTTCTACCATGTTTTTCAAACCCTTTTTATCTCGAAGTCATTCCAGATTGTAGCGCGCCAAAACTTTGCCTTGGGGCTCTCTTGAAGTATTTTAATTGAAGCTTTCTCCATTTCTTCGTGAGAGCTCAGAATTATATTTGAAGCCCCCAACTTGTTTTCTCCATAAAATACACGTGCTCCCAATTCAGTGAAAAAGCTGGAGGGTATTTTCTTGCGTTTCTTTCTTAATTTATTCCTTTTACACCCTGCTTTTGCGATTACATTTTTTATTATTCGGCCCTACTTATTTTTATTAACAAACTAAGGGAGTAAAAGAAGTGCTCCTCACGCAAATTTTATTAACACTCCTCTGTCCTTTTTCTGGT